GCCCAAATTCATGATGGATACCCCCTCAACTAAGGAAGAGGGAGTTGGTACAATGGCCTTTGGATTGATCAATACAAATTAATTATATGAATGTCATTTCTATCAAACATAATAATTTGTATTAGTCAATCCAAACTACTGTGTCAAACAAACCACCACATATCCCACCAATAATAACACCAACCACTCACATTTTAACTTATCTATTAAAATAATSGCTTACATTAATTAAAATAGTCAACAACTTTGAATGATTTTTTGGTTACTCAACAACTWGGGTCTTGTCCTCATCCCTTGCAACAGATAGGTTGTAAGTCATTAAAACTGAAGATCAGGACGCGCGGGACAAAGGGTGTAAACGTATAGAATTTGAGCCATACTCGAATTTGAATCTGATTAAAAATATCGATATCTGAATTTGAATTTGATTTGATATCCGATGGAAATTTATTTTTAATTGGGTTGAACCGAGTTGAGCTCAAGTAGCTTGCGATTATCGAATTTTGATCTCCAAGTTTTTTAGTCAAGCTCAAGCTCGAGCCACCCAAAACTCTATTTGGCTCAGCTTGATTATACCACTTGAATGATGTAGAAAATAAAAACTTATTCAAAGATTTCATCTAATAGCTTAAGCTTTTAGGTTGAATGGTTCCTTAAGATGGTATTAGAGTTTGTTTGACAATGTGGTCTATGTTCAATCTTTGCAATCTTCATTACAGTTGATTAAATTTTAATACAAATATATGGGTGGATCTATGCATGTCCACACTTAAAGCCCAATAGTCTGGGCAATTTTAGACAATAAAAAACTTATTCAAGGACCTCATTTAACAGTTTGAGCTTGTAGGTTGAAGGGTTCTTTGAAACATGTCTAATGTCATTTTTTTTTACTGTAAGTGGTGGCCTTCCCATTATAATTTGAAGGTAAGAAAATATCCTTTTAATTCTTTAAGATCATCTGAAGTGAGAAATTTTGCAAAGCTCAGAGTTATCATAACCAAGAATATTGACAAAATTATAATGTAAATACAAAACTTAAAACCAAAATCGGTTTTTTTTTTTTTTTTGGTTCACTTCAAAATCGGTTTAATCAGTTCGTCATTCAATTATACGGAGTAGACCTAACCCATTGACAATTCTCTCTAATGTCTTCCAAGCCCTGTTCACATCCAACAGCATATGAGAGTTGGAAGATGTTGGATCCGTTTGGGAGGGCTCCAGTGTTGAATAAGCTGTGTTAACTACTCATAAGCCCCTTCTGCGAAGCTACCAAAGGGTTGAGAGGGCTAGCCGTGTTGACTAAAACCCTTAACTAACTTACGGGAAAGTCATTTGTCAGTTAAACATAACTATTTTTTATTGGGCTTTTCTGTGAAGCCGCTGTGTGAAAAGCCTTCTCAAACGGGCACAGTTTCCTCAGGTTGACCCATTCTTTTTTTTTTTTTTTTAAATAGGATTGACGTGAGGTGTTACTGAAGTATACTCGGAAGTACCTCGGTGTCCTTCCTGGAATGAGCGAAGAAAAACATATTTGCTGCCAAGAAATTTCTATACCTACAAATAATTAAGATATAAACATTCTGCATGGTTATAGCAAACTACCAGTCAATTGGTAACCAAACTCCTCACATTGACAGGCAGGTATCAGAAGACTCACCGGTGAGGATCGTGAAGAAGGCATACATCAGGTATCATTTTGTTCCTTAATTATATAGGTTTGAAGGAAAAAGGTATGTTTGGTTTGAAGGAAAGAGGTAGAAACATGTATAAATCTTATATAGGTTTCTCTACTTTTCTCTTTCTTTTCTTACCTTTTCCTCCAAACAAAATATAGTCTGAGTATGGCATTCAGTGATAATCAGAGACATTCTTTATATATAATCTCACCACGCCTTGTATACAATTTTTTTTTTCTTCTTTCTTCCTAATTTTGGTGGTAATTTTAAACATGAGTTTATAGCTCATGTCTTACTCTTAAAACTATTCCATTACTTCTATACAATCAAGACATACATTAGTAATATCTCCCCATCAATTTAATATACAAGTAAGGAACATATTTTCCATATACGAACCAGAGGCTATTCTCTCCTATATAATTTTTGCTTTCACTTGAAAATTGATGATGATTGGTTGTTTCAGACATATATAAAAGCAGGGAGGCAACAATTCAGCTGTGCCATTCTGTGGCTGCTTATGTTAAAAGCAATATATTGATAGTAGGGGTGTTTTGTATCATTGTCATGTATTAGCAAAATGAAGTCAACTTGTCCTAATTTCTTAAAAAAAAAAATCGTACAAAGCATTTTCTGTAACGTCAACCCCTCCATAAAAGTAGAGAATTGGGATATAGTGCACACTAACAATAGAAAACGATTGGTTGTTTCAGATATATATAAAAGCTGCCATTGTGCGGCTGCTTATGTTGAAAGCAGAGGCTATTCTCTCCTATATACTCTTAAAACTATTCCATTACTTCTATACAATCAAGACATACATTAGTAATATCTCCCCATCAATTTAATATACAAGTAAAGAACATATTTTCCATATACCAACCAGAGGCTATTCTCTCCTATATAATTTTTGCTTTCACTTGAAAATTGATGATGATTGGTTGTTTCAGACATATATAAAAGCAGGGAGGCAACAATTCAGCTGTCCCATTCTGCGGCTGCTTATGTTAAAAGCAATATATTGATAGTAGGGGTGTTTTGTATCATTGTCATGTATTAGCAAAATGAAGTCAACTTGGCATCAACTCAAGTATGGTGTCTCATTTTTTCTTTTATTTGGTTGAGCTGATTATCAAGAAAGCCGCTGTTTTGGCTTATGTTCTATCAGACAAACGTCAAATGCTGTCTTCCTCCAATCCCAAGCCATTTTTCACTGTTTCACTTATGTGGCGTCTAATTGTCTTAAAGTGATTAAGTGTGAAAAACATTTTGTCCTAATTTCTTAAAAAAAAAAAATCGTACAAAATACATTTACCTATTTGTTTCGATGTACTCTACCTTTATACAAATACAAATATGTATGTAGAATGTAAAACCTTATATTTTATATTATTTTGTATGTATTTATACTGTACATTATCATTGATACGTTTGTCACTGAAATCAATGGAGGCTTTTGGTAATTTCATATACAAGGTAAAAGGTTGAGTTTTGACGTTTGACATGGAGATGAAATCGGTCAAAGCTGAGAATAAAGGGAAAAAGCTGGAGAATGCAGAACCTCTGAGGGACGACTGTGACCATATCAATGACTCCGACGTCATCCTCGAAAAAGCACAAGTGATTCACGTCCAGTGGCTTGGTGGCAAAACAATTCCGATCAGTGTGGTGAGCTCAGACACCATTGCAACAATGAAAGATATGATTCAGGACAAGTTAGGGATACCATCCTCGATGCAGAAACTCAAATTCGAAAACCAACTGCTCGAAGATGGGAAAACCGTAGCGGAATACAGAATTCGGGGCACGATTTACTTGATCATCAATTTAAGAGGTGGAGGCAACTCAGCTGGTCCAAATTGCGGCGGAATGCAGATTGTTGTGAAAAGGCAAAATGGAGGTGGGCGTCCTGATACTGATACTGACATTAGTCTGGAGGTTAAAAATTCTGATACGATACAGAAGGTGATGAGCAATGTGAAAACATCCGCAGGTATTCATCCAAAAGACAAGAGTTTTTACCTGGAATTTAATGGAAAGAGGCTCACCAATCCTAATAGAACCCTTAGTGAATGCAACATCCGCGACAGAGCAACACTTCATCTCACCCGAATTAGGATTGGATCTTCCTCCTCAATTCCACCGTCTGGAAGAAATTGAATGCTAAGTGAGTACAAGATAAGCAGTGTACGTAGGGATCTGCTACCAATAAAATAAATGCTTGAGCAGGGCCTGTTGGAAGCATTGGGAGCATGAAAACTTATACACAGTTTGTAAAGGTTTTCTTTATCTTTTCCCACTTTTTCCTTCAAACCAAAAATAACTTAAATGTAATAATGTATCAAGCATCTATCTATCGATCGATCGATCTATCTATCTCTATTTATTATATATACATAATGCAGTTGTTGTTGATATTAGCCTCTTCATCCTTCTCTATTATTTTACTAGCTAGTTTTACAATTTTTTTGCTACTTTTAGAACTTTAAGAAAATTATTTTTAATTTTTATTATCTAAATATTTCCATTAATTGGGTAGTGAGTTTCTGTTGAGAATCGAGTAATGGATTTCCAATTTCCAAACCAGCATATCTCGAGTGGTCAGCTTTTGAGGTAATGGTTCAGTGGTTTTTAGCTGCCCAAATTCATGATGGACACCCCCTCAACTAATCAATCCAAATTACTGTGTCCAACCAACACTCCTTAAAATTAAGAAGGCAATGTATCAAAATTGCAATATAAAGAGGGATACACGGAACGTCGCTGGGCTTACGTGGCCTCGCAGCAGGTTTTTTTTTTTCTCATGACATCTTCCACTTGACTTTGACTTGTCGTTTTTAACGGGTCATTTATAACCACCACATATCCCACCAATAATAACACCAACCACTCACATTTAACTTATCTATTAAAAATGTCACTCAAACGGATCGAATTTGAGCAATACCCGAATTTGAATCCGATGGGTATTTGAGCATTTGATTTAATTTGAATTTCATTAATTAATTATTTTAGGTAATTAATAAAATATAAAATAAATATTTTATTTATATAAAGTATATAAATATATAAATTATTTATATAATTTAATTATTATATAGATATTTAAAAATTTTATCTATTATATATAATAATTAAATAATTGATTGAATGTGGATATTTATCGAATCGAATCAGGTTATATCCGAATTCGACCGATTAAATATTCGAATCATCCGAATTCGATTCGATTATGTCAAATCTCAAATTCGAATGAAATCAGATTTTTGAATATCATTGACACCCCAACATTGGTTGGATTAAGGTTGAGGTGCCCTCACCTCTCATGACTTCTTGTTGGTTATAGATTTACATCAATCCAATCCAACACAGTCGGAGTTGCACAAGTACAAATAAGTGTTTGGATCTATTACCCACAATATGTTCTCACGTTTACGGGACATCATAGTAGTGTATGGGAAAAGGTTGTATCGGCTGATACGTATTGTTGGGAATTGAGGTTACAAAAACTTGGAAAAAAAGCTCTAAGACATGTTTGAAGATACCATCTTTAAAACGTTATTTATCTCTACTCAATTTTACTGAATTTGCTGTTGTGGGTTACAGAAAAATTTATTCCTATGATACAATAGGGGCTTGGGCGAAAATCTATAACTAGCAAAGTTAAAGAGTCTCCGAATAAATCTTCTGTAAGACAGTAGCATATCAAATTAAGAGCGGCAAGAATGATTCATTCACTACAAGAAAAATGACCTTTGGCAACAGTCCAATATAGGAAAAACTATTGTCAAATGTTTTACTTACAACTAAATGAGTTATTGCTAGCGAATCTATTGCTAAAAGTGTTATGTAACAATAAAGTATTGTGAAATATGTTTTTTCACAACAATCGGTCCATTTTCTAGCAAAAATGCTTATAGAGATGTTTTTTTATGCTGTTATATATCAATTTATATGCCACTATATACTTATGTTGGTGTATTTGTGGCATATAATCTTGTGCCGCTAAAAATTATGTCGATATAGGGTATAGTGGCATTTAGAGAAATACCGCTGCAAACAATACTATAATAGCATTTAATCAATCAATAATTGAAACACGTTTGTTCAACTATCATATTCAATATTAGAATCATTAAAAATCTGTGATTTTATAATAAAATTCAACAAAATAAATACTCATTCCAAATAGAATTAATACAATGATCTTCAATAAAAAGACACTAGGATGAAATTCAAATGCAAGATCATTATCTTTAGTAAATTTATTCTCTATTTGATAAGAGAGATTGTATCTCTTATAGCACTTCATCAATGCTCCATGTCCAGGCTTATTACACAACTGATAAACAATGCCATTACCTCTTCCTTTCCCTTGACCTTGTCTAAAGGGCTGATTATTACCATACCCCCTTCCTTTGCCATGATTAGACCTGTTCATGGGTTGGGCTCGGGCTGGGTTTTACTCTTGTCATTAATGAAAATATGTCAGGCCCAAGCCCAAGCCCAAGCCTAGCCCAACCAATGGGCCTATAACTTGGGCCTGAGCCCGAGCCCGAGCCCAAAGCCCGACCTAATAAAAAAAATTACAATTTTCCCTATTTAAATTAGAATTAAAAATGCAGACTGTTTTCTTTTTCCTATTTAAATGAACAATGGGCCTAAAAGATGGTTTTTTTCCCTTTCTTTTACATTTTAAAACACAGTTTTACATTCTTAAATAAAAAAAAAAATATTCAAATGGACATAATCACATAACCCATTTTAAGTCTAATTTTAGGTCAGCTTGGGCCGGGCTATATTGACAAAACCCGAGCCCGGCTCGAATTTATTGCGGGCCAGACTTTTTGGCCCAAGTTTAAACCCACAAGCCTATAAACATGTTCAAACCTGTCTAGGGGCCGGGCCGGCCCGTCGGGCCACTAGGCCCATGAGCAGGTCTAGCCATGACCAAAATTTCCTCTATTTTCATCTTAAGGAAATAGAGAAAATTGAGAGCAAATATTATTGTTTTAAATGTTACTTGTAGCAACATTCACATGAGGAGTTTCACCAAAAATATTATGTTGAAGAAGCCATGATTCATGACTAAGGTGCATCCCTAAAACATCATTGATGTATAGGCAATCTGCATCAGCTTTATTTGTTATGGAAGCGATAAGAAACTCATATTCATTGCCTAGGCCAGAAAAGAACATAATGAATCCTCTGTTGGTATAGGTTTAGAAACCACAACTAAATTAATTATCTGCAATTGTTTTGACTTTTTGAACATAATCATTTATTGACAAATTACCTTTCCTCATATTTGGAAGATGACACTTGAGTTGTAGTACCCTGAATCATGAAAAAGAAGAAAACAATCTTTCCAGGACAATCCAAACTTTAGCCACAATAGATATTGATGAAGGGGAATTTGGCCCGACCTCGCAGTTACCCGACACGTGGCAGAAACAAGCAACTCGGGATAGTAGAGCGCCCGAAGCAAGCACCGAAAGCAAAGTCCAAGCTCGCTACTGAGCCCGAACTCCAGACCGCCCTACTAGGAGCCCGAGCTCCCCACCAA